TTTCTGTTAGACCCCGACTCCATGCAGCACCCAACGACTAGGGAGACTACGATCCAATTGCTCAGGATCCAGTTGCTCAGGGAGCAAACACCAGCACACATTGCTCACAACAGCTTTATTCAAAATGGAGACAGCTTCAGACTAGCTCCCAAAGAAACAGGGGAACCACTGTGAACATTAGTTCTTTCTACATTTATACACCTTGGTTCCTGCTCACTAACATTTACTCCACCTTCACTCCTTCTTTGTTCCACTCATAGTCCCTCCTATCTCAAGCTCCACCTCTGTTTTCTGTTTGTTTCATTAGCATGGAATTACCTATGTATTTCACTTATTTACATGTCTTTTTGCTATGAGCCAATGTCTAAGACCTTAACTCCACTTCTTTCAGTCACTGGGCAGACTTCGACCAAAACCTGGAAGCTTCACCATTCACCTTTTCACATATCTTTATCTCGGATTCTGTTACCAGTTATGTGTTGTCTTTCACATTCCAGTCTGTTTTTCGGTCTCAGGTTGTATCATCTCCACATTCCTAAAACTTCACTTCATTCACACAGACTTACAGACTCACTTGAAAATGGTTGACACAGTTAAGATGGTTACTTAGCATAAGCAAATGGCTGGCTTAGCATAAGCATTCATAAGCAAAATCTGCTTTACCTCCTAATGATACATAATGAGCTCTATACCTTACAACAATACTATATGGTTAAAAATGCTTGCCTAAGTGTCTTGCTATGTTACTTTTAATATATCATTCTGCCTTGTGTTCAGCAGCTTTGCTGAGACACAGAGTAAAGCCTTTATTCAGCTGCAAATCCAGTGCTCCCCAAGATCTAAATACTGTCAGCCCTTTTCTTTACCAGCTTTTTTGGGTTTAACTCCAGGAAAACCCAGCAGTTGAGAGGGAGAGGTGGACACTGAGCAGGAGATATTTGTTTCTCCCTGTAGCACAAGCAGCTTATTAACACTTCAAATCAATATCTTTGGGGAATTTATGGCTACAACTCTTGAACCAGCATCTTGAAATTACTTACCATGCAGTAATGCAGCTGATGCCATTTGCTACTACTTATTTATGCAAGGTAGATTTCTCATCAAGCAGCATTACAAAGAATAAACACTGAAACAAACTAGATACAGAACCAAAGATGCATCTACAATTGTCAACCACCATACCAAACATCAGAGACCTTTACAAAAGGAAAGACGAGGACACCCATCACATTGAAAGCAAGTGTGTCCTGCAAGTATATAGTTATCCCTTCACAGTCATTACTATTTGTACACATAAAGAAAAATAAATAGAATAAATGACATGTTATTTGTATATATTTATTTACATTTACAAGACTTGTCCATCTTTCCGATAGGAATAGGGATTCCACAGCAGAAGTGATATGGAAGGGTTCCATGACTTCCATGACTTTGAAAATCACTGCTCTAGTCCAGTGGTTCTCAACTTGTTTATATGCAAGGCACCCTTCAGAAATGCCAGCTCTGAACTTGCACTATTTTTTTTTACTACAAAACAAAGTAATTCTTCTGTTGGAAAGAACTCATAAAGACAACAAGGCAGAATGCTTCTGACACCATGGGTTCTTATTAGGCCTGTGCGAGTTGGCAGCGATCCGATCCAGCTTCGGATCCGGCTGCTTTGGATAGCCGTGATCCAATCCAGAGCTCCGGACCGGGCTTCCGCCTCGATCCAGTCAAAGCGGCTCCAAAGCCGCCTCAGAGATCCGGCCGTAAGGTATAATGGGGAATCAATGAAATGTCTATAACTTTGATTTTTGTCTGATTTGGATGAAACTTGCAGGGATGGTAGCCTCTGCTGCGAGCATGAAACCTGCCAAGTTTCAAGAAGATTGGTGCAGGGGTTTGGGAGAAATGGTACCCCAAATTCTTGAAAACCAAACTCATGTCACATTTATGTGTTACAACACAGGAGGGGTCAAAACTGCAGGGCTAGTAGCTCTTACTGAGGTCACAAAGCCTGCCAAGTTTCAAGGAGATCAGTGCAGGGGTTTGGGGGGAACTGCCCCTCCAGCTGCGGGCAAGCAAAACTCGTGCCATGGGTGACCCTGCATGTGTTAAGGCACAGCAGGGTGACAGCTGCAGCAATGGTAGCCCCTGCTGCAGCCACGATGCCTGCCAGCTGTCGAGGAGACTGGTGCAGTGGGGTTCTGGGGCCCTGCACCCCTAGCTGCTGACAGGCAAAACTTGTGCCAAGACTGCGTCTGTCTTGGCAGTTGATTGCCTGTATTCTTTCCTCTCCTTAGCCTGGTTTTGTAAGTGCTAATTGATGCTCGTTAAGTCGTTATGTAGTAGCTAGGTCCTGTGTATTGAGCTGGTCCCTAAATCCCTGAGTGAATCATGATTGATTGATTGGGAACTGGTAACACAGTAGCTTAGCAGCCAGGCCCGCAGAAGCGCCTCCCTTCCCCTCCCCAAGACAGTCAGTTCCACAGCACCCATGGCACAAGTTTTGCTTGTCCGCAGCTTGCGGGGCAGCTCCCCCCAAACCCCTGCATCAATCTTCTTGAAACTTGGCAGGCTTTGTGGCCTCAGTAACAGCTACCAGTCCTGCATTTTTGACCCTCCTTTGTAACACACAGACGTGACAGAAGTTTTGCTTTCAAAAATTTGGGGTACTGTTCCCCCCAAAACCCTGCACCAATCTTCTTGAAATTTGGCACGCTTCATCCTCTCTGCAGTCTACCACCCCTGAGAATTTCATGTTAATCAGACAAAAAACAACAAAGTTATAGATATTTTATTGTTTCCCCATTATACTCTATGGCCAGAACTCCGAGGCAACTCTGAAGCTCTTCAGGAGCTCCGAACTGCTTTGGAAAGCCTAACAAAGCCAGTGCTTTGCCCCAGATGTGCTGCTTCAGACCCGAAGTGTCTGAAGCTTCTCTGGATCCAAAGCTCCGTCTGAAAACTCGCACAGCCCTAGCTCTTATATGACATCTCTGAGTTTATCCTGTGTAGGTGTCTGCACTGAGTGTTACCAACATTTAGGTAGGGAGCGCAGTAGGGTCCTGCTCAGGGGATGTTGGCACAATTATGCCTAGCCTGGTTACTGGCACAAGTATGACTAGCCTGTAGATCCTAAATTGGTTTAGACAGGAGACAGGCTCCCAGCCAATAGCGGAGTTATGGGCATAAAAGGATGTTATGGGCAGAAAAGGAGTCTTATTGGTGAAATTCTAGCTGTCCATGTACACCTAGGAGCTTAGGTGAGCTGCTTTAAATAAGTGAGCTTCAGATATATGTGATTAAATTCTACTTAAACACTTTGGTGAGTCTGAGCCTCAATTTATAACAGAGCTGGCTGTAGAAGCTTACTACTTACCTTGAATAATTCTCGCAAATGTTTTTTCTTTTCCATTCTCTTCACAATATACCATTTTTACACTTGCAGCAGAAGAAACGGGTTTTCCAACATGTGCGCCATGAATAAGTTCTTGAATATTTTTCACTCGTAAGTTAGCTGTTCTTTCACCCATCACAAAACTAAGAGCATCTATTATGTTTGATTTGCCTTAAAAACAAAAAAAAGGATTTTTTTTAGTTGAATAAAAAATGAACAGGCATAGCTAACAACTCATTTGAAGTTTTTAACTTCAATCTCTACTTGTTTTTAAGTGTTCTTCACAACTTGTATACACATTCAAGAAATAGTGACACTAACCATTTTTTTTGAGATCTTTAAATAATTTAGAACCAACAGTCTCACAATATCCCCACTCAGAAGGTATTCCCAAATTGATGTAGTGTAGGGTTACCATACATCTGATTTTCCTGGATGTGTCCTCTTTTTGGGTCCTCCCATCTCTGTCCAGATGTTTTTTTAAAATACCAACAAATGTCTGGGAATTTTGCTCTGCCTCTGCTCAGCATCAAAGTTTTTCCTAGCCATTCCTGGCTTGCCCCAGAAAAGAGCTGTTTGGGGCTGTGGGAAGCAGGGGAGGGCGATTGAAGGCAGGGACATCATGTGCTCTGTGTGAAGCCCCGATAGCTGCAAGCAGGTAAGTCTGTGGGAGGCAGGGTTTGGAGGGCCAGGGCATGGGGACTGTTGGGAGGGGGTGGGGGTTGTACACACGTGTGGGTGGGTGCAGGTGCCTGCTGGGGCTGCAGCAGGGATAGCAGATCCCCCAGCAGGTGAGGTGCCCGCCCCTCCAGCAGGGATAGCAGATGGGAGGATTCTTTGGGGGCAGCAGGGTTGGCAGTGAGAGGCACCAGCAATTGGGGGTGAGGGGAAGGGGGTGCAGGCTGCAAGTGAGGGGCAGCAGCAGGCTGGGGGAGATGCAGGTTGGGCGAGAGGGACACCAGCACGGTCTGGGGGGCACAGTACTGGGACCAGGAATAGGGCTGGGGTAGCTGTGGCTTGGGAGTGAGGGGCAGGGCGCAGCCATATCACTGCAAACAATATTACCCCCACCCCTGACAGGTACCCTCTTTTTTTTTTTTAGCTGGAAATAGAGTAACCCCAATGTGGTGAAGTGACTTGAGTGTCCGTAGCCCCTGGAAGTAGGGCAGCCACCTGTGGCACAGCTCCCAGCAAGATCTCTGGTGCATGGCAGGCTGTGCAAATTCTCCCTTGCATTTTCATTGCTGTGCAAACACCCCTGGTTGTGAGGGGGGGATCCCTGGGTGCGGCCCCGGAGCCCCTGGCTGCGCACTGCCCCCCAGCAACCACCCGGGTGGGGGAGGGGAGGTACCACTCCGGAGGACGGGGCTACCTGAGCCGTTGGGCCCAATAACGCTGGTGAAGCGCATAAAGGGCCCGACGCTCTGGTGGCCCCGCCACGACTTGAAGTTTTCCATCGTTAGCAGCTTCAGAAAACCCATGGCGGACGGCCAAGGGCAGCGCCCTACGTCTAGCCCTTGCGCACGTGGCAGCATCGCGAGCGGAGCGCAGCGCAGCGCAGCCCACCACAGGTCTCGAAGTCTCGCGAGAGCTGGTGGGGCGGGGCGGACAAGTTTGGTTGCCGTGGCAACGGCACTTGTTGAGGGGCAGTGGCGCCATGTTGCGGCCGGGGCCGGATCGCGCCGAGGCGGCACTGCGGGAATGGCGGTGGCAGGGCGAGCGGCGCCGGCAGGGCCGCGTCTTCGACGCCCGCGCCAGGATCATCGGGGTGAGGAGCTGCGCGCTCGCTGGGCGCAGTCCCGGTTTATCCCGGCCTGCGGGAGCCGCTGTGTCGCTGCGGTGCGGGTGCGGCCCAGGGCAGGTTAAACCCGTCCGTGTCTCTTAGCTCTGTGGAGGGAGCGACAGGCGGGTCCGTGCGGCGTTGGGGTGAGATGAGCCGCATCCCCGCACATGGGCGCGGCCGTTTCCAAAAAACAGGCAAAGCTTTGGGGCCGAAGGTGAGGATTTTTTATTAGACCAACTCAACAGGAGCAAATCCCTTTCTTCGTAAGGTGTCGGGTCCGAGCGCCCCATGTCGGGCTGCGGGGATTTAAAGATAGTGAAAGTTTTCCTAGGTAGAAAATGAATTCATTTTGCGCCGGAGACTCTTGGGGGCTGTGCAAAAAAAATTGAGCTGCCCAAATAAAATCGAAGGACCCGCGCCCCTCAGTGCCATAGTAACGAAGTTTGGTTCCTGGAGCAAAGCCTGCACAGATCAGGCTAGCATGTGCCCCTGGCCATGCTTGGTCGGGAGGACACGCAGCAGCAGGAGTCGCCCTTCCTGCCTCCGGGGCCCCGGCTCCCAACGAGCCACCCGTGGCTCTGTCCCACACCCTGCCCCTCGTCAGTACACCGGAAGGTCCCCCGCTCTCCCCCCTTGCTACGGCACTACGCCGTGGTTATCATTTGCAAATCTTCGTGGGGAGACTCTCATCTCTTATGATGGGGATCAACCCCCTGAGCTTCTCTGTAATTCGATCCCTATTTACACAAGCAAACAAGGTAATTAACTCTAATTAGCCGTGTTATTCTCAAAAGACCAAGGAGTTAAACTTCTAAAATGGTAAGGCTTGTTTATTCAGAAAGCCTTCTTAGCCTACTTATCTGCTGTTCCCTCCTGCCGTCCCCAGGCAGTTGTAACATATATAACACTCTTAAAGATATCCAGGCGAGGTTCCTTGGGTAAATGTGTTATCTTCTATTAGACCAACTAAATAGTTGGAAAAATTGTTCTTTGCAAGCTCTTCTGCCTTAACGCCCTTCTTTTGGCCTAGGGAGAATGACATTAGCCAGAATGGTTCTGAGGCAATGTATTAATTTGGATAATTCATAGGTAGTTAATGTGGGACAATAAACTTGTCTGTTCCTCTGTAAAATCTGGGGTTTGCTAGGAGATAAAATGATCAAATTTTGAATGAAGCTGGTTGTCTGTTTTTATCCAGAGGGCCAATCCCACTGTCTCTTGTTTATGTGAAGTATCTGAATTGACATTTAGCCTGGGGGCAAGAGTAGTAAATTTTAAGTTAATTGCCATTCAAGCTTCTTGGTGTCTAATCTGCTGGCTGGCTGGCCCCCACCTGTTTTGATGGGGACTCCCAGCCTGGGATGATCAGGCTGAGGATAAACTCAGTGGGCGTGTCCAGACAAGGAGGAACATGTATTGGGACAAGTAGCAGTGGCACAACTTGGTTTGCTACTATTTGTCCTTGGGGAGTGCCTATGCCACACATGCTCTGGCACACAGCAGGTTACCCCAGGTGGGGTAAGGGAGTCTGGGGCCAGGACCTGTGCTAGCCTCAGCAGCCTGACCTGGGGTTCTGGGGGCATCTGAGAGCTATCTGCAGCTGGGAGCCTGACCAGAAGCCAGAGTGTGGCCCCAGCCAGCCAGTTTTGGGCAGCATGCAATACTGCCATGTGCATCACCCCACTATTTTTTTTGGTGTGGGTTTTATGATCCCTGCTACTACAAAGTAGCACCGCAGGGAATGCCTGGATCCTCTAGTGTGTGGTGCTGCAGACCCGTCTTGCGGTGCCGCATACTGCACGTCCCTGCTCATCTGGATGTGCCTGATGTGTTTTTAGCCTTTGTAATGTTGGCCACAAGGCTTGCCACCTGATTCGGGTAAGGGGTGTTTGGGGTTGGAGCTGCACTTTCCTGCTTTGCAGATGTGCTGTGATGCTAAGTGAACTAATGTTTGTCAAGTATAGTGAAATTCTCAAGCATACTGGAAGTATCCAGCGTCACCTAATAATGTCTGCATGAACAATTTTATGTGATCACATAAGATCAAATTCAGAATGGGTGAAAGCAGCCCTGGTTTGTTGTGTTTTGTGGATTGGGTATGCTTGCAACAAGGCTAAATTTGATCCTTCAAGTCTTAGGGACTGAGATTTATATCTCACGTTACTGAAAAGATCATTTTCATCCAGTGTGCGATCAGTCTTTGGATTATGCATGTAACCTTTCTGCCACAGTCAGCTTAATTACCTAGAAACGGCAAAAACGTTGTCGGAGCGGTCATCCATCTACTTCAGGATTCTGTCACCAGTAACAGCTAGTACCCAGATGCATCAAAGGAAGATGATAACAATCAGTTAGTAGATGGAAATAATAAGACACACAAAAATAACAAAGTAAGAAGGCAACTCCACTTTTCTGCATGTGGAAATATATCATTTAGTTTGTTCTGTCATATACGTTTCTACAGCATTTCTTACAAGTTAAATTCGGTGATAAATCTTCAGGTGATGTAAGTCAGCATTGAGTCTCTATATCTTTAATAAAGTGATGCCAACTTACAGCAAATGAGGATATAGCACAGAGAGTTTTGCAATAGTAATATGTCAAATAGGTGTATAACAGATCAATTTGCCAGAAAAACATCAGAAATGCAAGAGAAACCCACGTAAATGTTTATCTTTATTTAGATGAAAATGATATATTCAACAGCTGAAAGGTAATGGTAGCATGGGGGATGGAGTTGTCGTCTGTTGTGAGATTAAGTAAAACATGAAGTAGAAACTTCCTGTAACTTACAGTAGATGTGGTGTTTTTGTGCTTTTAGGTACACTTTTAAAATTATTGCGTAATGTGTAGCTTGTAATATTCACTGTCAGCTCTGCCTAGCTGCTATGGCTGACACAGTTGGAAGGCCATGCCAGTATTTGACTTAACAGTCAACAAATCTTTCAGAAGAAGCAAAATCAAAATGGGTGAGGTACAGTGATGCATTGAACAGGACTGAGAGTGGAAGTGGGAATGATCCTGCCCTTAATTTACTGGGTGATATCAGGCAAGTTACTTCTGTGCTGAGTGTTCTCATTTGCAAAATGAGCAAATTGAAATTTACTCCTATTTGTAAAGAGTCTTTGCAATTGCATAGCTTTTTAAATCTATAACTGTTACAATTCAAAATCTAATTTTTCTAAAAATAATTTATTTTTGGAAAAAGTGGAGATATATGGACTGAATAATTAATAAAGCTATGTTAACATTTATCCAGTATTTATCATTAGGGATATAATGTAAAATTGACAAATACAGATTAGAAGACAAAATTGGAAAAAAAAAAAAAGGAGTTGGTTATGTCAGGATAGCAAGTACTTCGTTATTTTGCTGTTATTATTTAAGTTGAATTTAGTTAATATGATGACTAGCTTTTTATATGCTCTAAGATGACAAAGGATAAATTAGTATAATAATTCAGAGTTTCCACATACTATCTAATCTCTTGTCCATGCCATGCCCAGGATCTTCTGAGGAAAAATTGTTTATTTTTTTTCCTTAACTGTTATTGACATTATGAGGAGCTTTGTTGTTCAAATAAACCTTTGTGATCCAGTTGAAAACAGCAATTTACACCAAATTATCTCATTGCTTTACCAAGGCGGTGGTCATGTAATATTATCTGTAGTGTCATCTTTATTGTATAGCTATGTATGCAGAGTTTAGTGACTTAGCAAAGGTCACACACAAGTCAGTGGAAAATTCAGGGATTAAACCACTGTTTCCAGACACCAAAAATAGTATCTTCTACAGAAAAGGCTGAAAGTTTTCTTCTACTCCCATATTCTCATTCAACAAAGAATTTGAATAGAGCATTATATGTAAATGTCCAAACTATCTTACAACAGCAAGGTATTATATTTCTACTACAGCATAACTGGCAAAAACCCTTTTAACTATTTAATAAAGGGGAATGGTGAAAGGAGGAAAATTAGACAGCCAGCTACAACGGAGAGGAAATATTTCAGCTATGTATAGGAGCTCAATAAGCCTTATAAACATGTTTGTGTTTGAATGTACTTGTTGCTATTAAAATGAAATCAACAAACAGGACTATGTTCTTACTGGATTTTCTTTTACAGCCACATATTTAAAATATGTTGTGTGTGTCATTTACTATATTAAAGCCAATTCACTAGCAGTAGCTCAATTCACAGCTGCCTTGCTTTATAAATTTGCAAGTCAAATATGTTCATTTCTTGATCAAGTCAATTTTTAACAAACAGGGTTAGACAAAAGTCTATAAATGTTTTAATATTTTCAATGGATACATTTTTAAAGAGTTTCATGTTTTTTTCAATTTAATAGGTTGATCAAGATGCTCTGGACACCCAGGTCAAAGATAGGAAGATTCAAGAGGAAACTGAAAAAGCACAAAATGAAACAATTGGTATATTTAGAGATAATGCAACTTTATATTTGCATTTATATTTACATACTGAATCTTGAATGTATGTTCAGTTGAAGTCAAAGTTTAAGTGGTCCTAAAGTGTACTAAACATCTAAGTGGTGCTTAAATGCAATCCTGTTATACTGTTAGGGTCTCTGAAAACTATTAGTGTAGAAAGTAGATGAGTTCTTTTCCTTCTGTCTACATTTATGAAGGAGCCTTAATGCTCGATGGGTAAAATACATCCATTGTCAATTTTTAGGGATGCTATCAAGATGGAATAGTATTACATTTGGACCTCGTTGATCCATTATGTGTCATCATTTCCCTCTTAATTCAGACAGAGGGAGTATATTCTATTCATGTTTGAGTGTAAACCTTGAAACAATATCTAGTTTCCTCTGTGGAGGACAAAGATCACCTTGGTTTAACCCAGTTGTACCTGCTTAGGCAATACTCCTTTTAAAGTCGGTACAGGCTTTTCTTGAATAAGAACTTCAGTTTGGCGTGCTGTTCTGCATTAATATAGATCATGTATATCCTACTTGCTGTTAGGTAAAAATAGTTAATGTTTTGATCCCCTGACTAATTAAAATAATTTATTTGGGGGTGGCTGTACAGTTATTTTAATGTTAACAGAGTTATTGCATTAAATCCCATATCTCGTTTTAACACCTGCAAGTAAAGAATTAATGATGTTTAGACTGGGATGACCTTGAGGAGGGCATGCCACGCTACAGCCTTGGGTCAGATCCAGCCTGCAAGGAAGTTGGATGCGGCTCATGAAGGTCCATTTTGGCTGGGGTGGCTTGGTGGATCAGCAGCTGCACCATGCCACCCCTCACAGAGCCGCCCTCAACAGCCCTTGCTCCTGCTGTCTCTTATCTGTGCTTACTTTTGCCACAGAATTTGCCCCTCCCCATTGCTGTTGCAGATGGCAGTAAGCAGCTTGGGCATTTCAGGGGCAGAGAATTGCAGGCAAAGTCACAAGCAGTGGCCTGTAGCAAAAGATCGCTGACCCCTGGAGTAAGTTGATGATCTCTTGAGGTCCTTTCCAGCCCTACTCTTCAATAATTTGAATTAGAAAGCAAACAGTTGCTTTTCTGGACTTTTTCTTCCTACTTCTGTATAAACAATCTGTTCTTTGGCCAAGAGCTCGAGGCCCTGATTCTACTAAGGAAGTCTGCACTCATATAACTATGTTGGTATAGTTGTGTCAGAGTGACCTGCTACTTTATTTAGATGCATTACCCCAGCAAAAGGCTACATTTACAAAAGTCTAGTATGTTACCAGACTAAGCTAGAGTGAGAACCACTGGCTTTCAACAGCCTTAGAGTTAAGGCACCACTCATCAGACTCAAGGTATTCCTGCATAAGTTTTGTGAATTGAGCAGCACCCCAGTTAAAAAATGCGTTTATTTAATACAGTGCTTACCTCCTTCAGAGGGGTGAGGCAGGGGGAGCCCCTGCTTATCTCCTCACACTGGGAGCCTGAGCCTACTCTTACCTGCTTCTCTTGTCTTCTCATACCTCCTGTGGTATCCTTCAAAGGATCTTATGGCACCCATGGTGTGCACACTAGTTGTAAGCACTGATTTCTTGTGGGTCTGTATCAGGATCTTGCACCAATGTAACTATATCAACACAGTTATGATAGTTTGAATTTCCTTGAGACAAAACATAAAAGTGGGAAATAGAATGATTGCAATGATTTCTTTTACCAAGCAGTGAAGCTTGAAGATGTATGCTTTTTTTTTTTTAAAACAAACGGACAAAGAACCATGTTTTACCAATAGGGTTGTTCTCAGAATTGTGGGGTTTAAATCTATGAATTGATTTTGCCCTCTGTACAGATTATTTTTGCTAGAAACTTGAATTACTTACATCAAGCAGGGAACATACCCATACAAACATAATAACCATATCGCTTGGCTTATAAGACTCACCATGCCACAGCTTGAATGCTACCACATGGTCTCATTTGCAAAGGGACCACAAGCTAACCTCTCTGAGTTTCAAGAAGACCCAGAAAGCAGTATCCAGCTTCTGCTCTACCTTCATGTTTCTGGTCATGATCTTTGTGGCAGGCACCCAGACAGAATACCTGCCAGAATTTGATACCCTAGAAAACAGCCAGAAATTGCTCCTGCCAGAATGCACATCTGTGGTATTCGCTTGTGGATTATATTTAAATGGTCAGACTCTGTACTATCTCATACTGGATCAGTTGAAGTGTTGCACTTCAGCTGTGGAGGAGTGACAATAAGCTCTTCTAAAAGTGATGGTGTTCTTCAGACTTTTTTTCCCCTGAGTGGTTTTGCTGAAAATTGGAAATCTAGCATAACCATCTAAACCTCCACTATTTAAATCATTGATTTGTTTTTGTGATTTCTTTTGGTCCTAATTAGCAAGTATGTTTCTGTCCCAACTGCAAGTTGGGAGTAAATGCTAGGGCAGGGGCAGGCAATTATTTTGGGTAGAGGGCCGCTTAATGAGTTTTGGTGAGCTGTCAAGGGCCACAAGAGTAGCCCCACCATCTTGGGACTGGAAATCCTGTCCCCTAACCGCTGACCTTTGCCATCAGACGTCCCACCCAGAAGTACTCCCTTTGAGAAGAGGGTTTGCCATCTTGGAACTGAAAAATAAAAATGTATATTAAAAATCAAACAGACAATTATGGCAGGGCACTGCATGTACCTGCTACTTCAAGGCTCTGGAGCTGGCAGCCTCCAGCTGCCTAATGAGGGCAGCCATTTTAGGTTCAGGCCTGCCCATATAAACAAGGCAGTTTGGGGGCTGGAGGCCAGGCAACAACATCGCCTGGCCCGAAGGGTGTTGAGATCATCCGGAGCTAAGGGAGGAGCTGTAGGGGATGTAAGGAGGCTCCTGGTCCTGGGTATGACCTAAAACTATGCCCTGCTGGGAGTGGGTGGCCTGGTGGGGCTCCCAGTGGCACAGGAGCCCCCAGTCAAATGCCAGGCCAGTGATCACCCCGATGAAAGGCGGGTCGGGGTGTTACCAGATTTGCCCATTACTTTGGGGCGTGCTCATTTATTTGGGATACGTTTCTAGGGTCTTGGTAAT